TGCTTTGCAGCAGCCGTGGTCTAATATATCGCGTTTTAAACCGTTAAAGTGTTTTATTTAAATGTGTACTACTCGCGTAAACTATAGACAGTATTTATGTAGATTAGTTCAAACCTCGCCTACTATTGTAATTTTTATTTTGTATTCCCGTAATGTTAACAGTAGCTAATAATGTACCCTAATATACAATAATATAGAAACGAAAAAAAACAATGTGTTTTTTTTTCGTTTAACTTAATTTAAAACACAATATGGTTAAAATATCAATGTTAGAAGCTGAATTAGGACCAAACAACTTATATATTGATAGTATATATAAATGCGGCACGGGAGTTATGTGATAGCATAGAAACGGTATGCTTTACAGATTTTAAACTCCTGTATGAGGTCTGTTTGTTGTAATCACCATGTTTTCAAGCAGACCGACATTTCATAAGATGTTCAGAGCAATAAAAAGGCTTCATCAAGACGCGGCCGAGGGAGGCCGACACGCCGTCAGGGGGCGAAGCGAAAACGAAGTATCCAATTTCACCACTTCCCCACTTCCGAGGCAATTACGAAGCAATATTGTGGGGCTGTGGTAGTAGTCTGACCGCACTCTGCCTGAAATCTAGGTACCGCGGCAACCACGTTACGGTACGCGGGTTATCATGCTTTTGTTTGCGTTGGGTTTTTTGCAAGACGGACAATTTTCGCTAACAAGCCCATTGGCAAATGGCATTTTAATGGATTCCGTTTTATAACTTTCACGGTTGTCAACTCAAACGAGACACTAAGGAGTAGTAACCAATTCTAATCTCAATATGGATAACATTTCGATACATTACAGTAATACACGATTACTTTCGTACACATTAAACACTCTCTTTAGTTTACGAGAACAGTACACATTTAAATAAAACACTAGAACGGTTTAAAACGCGATTTATAATAAACTTATTTGGATTATTGAATTGTCTTCCCGTGAACACGGCTGCTGCGAAGCATAACTGATATAAATCGCGTTTTAAACCGTTATAGTGTTTTATTTAAAAAGCCATTGCTTATTAGATTATCGGCTATCTTCGATAAATATTCTAACATTTCTTGAGAGTCCAGGAGAGGTTAGACAAGCAATGGTTCGATCATGGAAGCCCTATAACCTATGCCCATACACATCCGATCATTCCAAATTAGAGTCGTTTTCGAATATTCAAAGGCAAAATATAATAGGTCATCTTTCAAAGATACTGTATGGCTGTGGTATTTCTCCTTCCGACAAGTGAGTCTGGTCTTTCCTCCTCTACCGTAAAACAGGCAAAATGTTATATGTGTCTTAACCCATTTGGGTCTGTCACGTTTAGAAAAATTAGCCATGTTGAATCCGGTAGGAATTGAATCCTTTACTTATTAGACATACTACCATAGAAGCTCCGAGATCATCCGAAATAATTATAGTACAATTTTGGCTGTTAAAGCAAAATGGCTACAAGACTTGTCTTATAACTATAATTGTATATCTAATATAACTAAATTTACAAGTACTTTCACAAGAGCAAAAAACCATTAATAGAGTCAACTTACTGGCTGCCGCTTAGATCTAAATGAAAACATGATTCTTTCGATTCAAACGTCAATCTGTCAAGCTGATATAACTGCATACCGGACAGTAACCACGATATTTGAATATATTGGCAAATATAGGCGTCTCGTTTCAACCAGGACAAATTTACAATTTAAATACGCAGACTAGACTTGACTTGTAACTGTAGTGTAACCGAGTAATACCTACTCAGTCACGATAGTCTATTTTCGAGCAGACCCAAGGGGCTGCAACACATCATAGATAATACGCCGTACCACAGATATATTTTTGCAGTAACCACAATAAATCGTGTTAATTCTATCAAGAATAGATTTGAACCCTTCAAACATTCCCTGCACAAGAAAACTAAGGAGCACTTGACTCAAAGTTAGTGCCATTCATCACAAAACACAGCCAAAGTGCCACAATGAAAAACCCTCACATTAACACGACAACAAAAATGTTGTGCAACACAAAAGCTCTTTCGCACAGAGCTTCGCGATCCATTAACGACACTTAGAGACTTGTAGGGCGTCTAAGTTACCAAAACGTGTGGAGCTCAGAATCTACCGTTTTCGCTTGGAGTGCTTCCGACGAATTTCGCAGAAGAAAGTTCTTTGTAGTGTGGTCGAGACAGAACACTTATTACGGAACAAATACTTGTAAGCATAACCAATAATGCTATAGATTTGGTAGCAAGGTTATTTTAAACAGATAAGAAAGGGTTCCTAAATAGAATTCAATTGTTTCCGCATTGTATTTCCTATTTATTTGGGCGATACGCGCTGTCTGGTTAAGTTTATGAGATCATTGAGACAGTACATTAGAAGTATTTCAATAAAACACTATAACCGTTTAAAACGCGATATATATTCGTTGGCAAAACTCACTCGTTAGGAGATTTGTCAAATAACTTATTACAAATGGCGAAAGCTGGTTTCCTAAATGGCACAGAATACAATTGTAAGACGTAAAATTTTAATCCGAACTCGAGTCGTGTCGTTTTTATCCTGCAAATGAGATTAGTCTGTGAACGAAGCTCCGTTAAGCCTCGCGATAATCTACAAAACTGAGGCGGTTATTCTATTCGCTTTTTGCGATATTTCATAAAGAGATTATAAAGAAATAGGCTTAGGATATAAATCGAAAACGTGTTTTAACTTTGAAGTATATTTATTAGCTTAATGGATTTTTCTATCACTCTGTGTTTTATTAAGAAAACAAATATATTTTAGACAAATAACTTCAAAATGTCAAAGTTAATTCGAATAATCTAAGCTAATATTTTGAAGCCAGGACTAAGTTTGTTTGTTTGGACTTTGCGTGTTGGTTGGACGGTTTATCGAGGAAGCATTTAGGCTATAATACAGAGGGAGATGTGGCAAAAGCGGGGTAAAAAAAATAATCTTTAATGGTTTCGCAAAAATACCAAAAATGTATGTATGAAAAAATGATTCTAATTTTTTACTTATAAATTTATAAGGAGAATTTTGATGCCCAAAATAACTATTCTACGCGGACAAAGTCGCAAGCACAGCTTGTTTTCAATAAATTTCATGGCAATCCAACCCACGACCGTTGATTATTAGTAACATTGCTAACCTAGCAACCTGTCAAGCTGATACAAAGGTGACATGAAAATGTACATTTTTCAACATAAAATTTACCACCTTTTTATGTACATACAGAAATACTAAATATTTTATAACAATCCGAGTAGTATTTCATGAGTCAGACATTGCGTTAATATTGCTTCGACCTTGGCAATGTTTTTCATTCGAGTTCATTTCTCTATCTCATTGAAATAGTTTTTAAACCGCCACTGGCAAACTGGCCTGTACTCTTTGACCTTCAAAAGGATTTTTTTATACACTAACAATAGACTATCAACACAATAGTTAGATATTCAACTAAACGGTGAAAATTTTGTTTCAACGGTCGCTCCTATAAAATTACTAGTCCGATTTGAAATCAATTTCCGATAAAGGCTAAAGCCGTCTTGCAAAGAACCAATAACATATGTGATTGTTGCAGGAACGTAAAATTGCACGGTTACTCATTAACAAGCGTCATGTACGACAATGATTTATTTAAATAGTTAGCATAGCTTCTCTTTTATCTGGAAACGTTAAAACTTCTTGGTCTATAAAAATTTATTATCTTACTAGACGTTCTATCTTAGTTCCTGAATTTAAAACGCGTTGCCTAGCTTTGGGTTAAGCATGAGAGATCCTAGGTACAAATCCTGAGGAAATTATATATTCAGTACTGCAGGGCACCGAATTTTAATAAACAACTATCAAATCACAGAAATGTGTTCCCAACATTCTGGGAGAAAACGTGCTAGCCCGTACTTAACTAAAATGTATTCAAAAAATTTTAAATATATTATTGAACGTAGGTACAACCGCGTGCGAAGCTTATATTACATAGTCCATCGTACGAGACAATACAATCGTCTGATTTACCTTAATGGATTCACAAGTGTTACTCATGCAGCCATGAACCCTTTCAAGGTACGATAGTGCGTGTACAAACATTTATTTATTTATACATACACATTATAAACCAACAGGGCAGATGTATACATGGTTATACTTAATTATATTAATATATAAAGCTAAAGAGTTTGTTTGTTGGAACGCGCAAATTGTTGGAACTACTGGTTCGATTAAAAAAAGAATCTTTTTGTGTTGGTTAGAGCATTTTAGGAGTCTTTAAAATTGCGCTGCGACTTTTTTTGCTGGAGATTAGGATGCGGAGGCAAAAACAGCGGGAAATGTTGAGGAAACCGCTACCGAAACAGTTCATACGTCCATAGCTCGATCTATAGCCTTGTGGACGCCAAGTACAGACAACTACGTCTCCTGGCATGTTATCTTTCTGATAAGCATGTTATCTTTTAAATAAATCGGTTAACGGTTTAGAACTCGAAATATTAGTTACAAATGATTTTAGCGACGGCCTAACGTCTCGGATGTATGCAGCAGTCGTGGTCTCAATTTATTTGCATTTAAACCGTTAAAGGTGTTTTATTTAAATTTGCACTACTCGCGTAAACTACAAAGAATACTTAAGTATGACATCTGTTTAATCCATAAAGATGGATATGATATGAATTATAAGTATGACTGTGCGCACGCGTCTCTAATTAAAATTAGCGATGCACACATCTTGTGCTGGTATTTTTAAACCTATGAAAAGTTCTTATTGATATTAAAGTTAAAATTATGTCTTATGAAAAGAAAACTTCGAGAACGTTAAGCTACTGGTTCGTGTTGAACGATTAATATTTCTTAACTGACCCTATTTGTATAAATAAATAAATAAATTTACGAACTTTTAAACCAACTACGTGTTAATTACTTTAGGCCTAATATTATAGTCGTCACAAAGGGCGATCCCCTCACACTGCTGTTAAAATTCGTATCACCACTCATGACCATTTCAAGTCAGAGCTAGCAGACCACCACCATCCTATAGGTTTGCTAATCAATATCATAAGACCTACAAAAACCAATTGTATACAGGTCTTTATAAATCTGTAAACTTTTTAGGGCTTTTGAGTGGATTCATAAATCCCGTTTCCCCCTTAGGGCATGGGGCGATCACATTTCTGTGTCCGTTTCACTGATAGGGTCTTTTACAGGCAAATAGTTGCTAGGCTACAGAGACGGTACTGTCGCTCTTCGTGAACACCTGTAAATGACATTGATTCCACTTACTTGGATCATCAGCGATCTGCCTATATACAGCCAGCGCCACCTCGTCCTCGCTGACGACGTCCCACAGCCCATCGCAAGCCACCACCAGAAAGTCCTCATCTCCATCCAGATCCAAAGCGACGACCTCCGGCCGTGCTATGACGTACGGCTTGTACTGTGCGTCACCTGTAATTAATGAACAATTAAAATGGTAGGTCATTAAAAGTCGTTTTAAAATATGTTTTCTTAAGCACACTGTCTACTTATGATTAAAACGAACGTTTTAAATTTTAAATCTGATAGAATTACTTAAATTGACAAACTCGATAAGCGAATAAAACCTTTTGATTCATATGAAAAAAAAATCTCAAGTATAATAACGTATACATACATTATTATAACACACAGGAAAGCGTTTAACTTAGTTACTTAACATGGAAAACCTTTATAAGTAACTAGGTATTCCTTAAATTAAAAATCTATTTGAATTGCTAAAAATTCTACAACACGGGCTGTACTTGAACCGACATACACAATGGTGCCGTGCTGCTCAAACCTATTGAACTACCGTGTCCTAAATCATCGTCACCGTCGATTTTTTCAATATATTGATATATGTAATTTCAACCTTAACACTTACTCATTGAGACTCAATGTCTTTAATCATTACAGATACAATTATAGAGGACGACGTTTGAAAACTTTTAAATTTTTCACATATGCACATGATGGCATTATATAAGTATTTCTTGTCGTATACTACTGCCTGTAGTTTACGTGAGTAGTACACAAATAAAACAATTTAACTGATTAAAACGCGATCGCACTTCGAATGCTCTCGATCGTGGAGACGTCGGGCCTACTTAAAATAATTTTCAAACAGGTTTAACTAATTATTTCGCGTTTTAAACGGTTAAAGTATTTCATTTTAATTTCTTATCATTATTAGATTGATTCTACCCTACTTACTTGACGTAAATCATAACGAAAACAGGAAGTTATTGAATACAGACAATAAGTAACGGTCCGTACAATGAAAAATCGAGTACGGGCGTTGAAAAAAATAAGGCAATAACTCAATTCCGAACATTGATAAGAGAAATATTATTTAAAGCAATCTTGCGTAAAAGCTATCGGATAAGTTCGTAGAGCCTCCCCCAGGGAGACGAGAACGCTCCGAGACTTATAATCTCGCGTAGAACGGGAATCAACGGGCTTCAGACGCCATCCTCCGGCCTCCCTATGGGTCCCGACCGTCCCGTAAAGAAAATGTCAACATTCCACTTCCATAGAAACTATGCTATTACACCGCTCCTCACGGATTCATTGGCTAGGGACGACACATGTATCGATAAGAATTTAATAACATCGTCACCACATACCTTATAAATGGTATCATCGATAATATTTTAACTTAAGAGTCTGTTAGTAACAGTTTACGCGAGTAGTACACATTTAAATAAAACACTTTAACGCTTGAAAACGCGATATATTAGTTCAACTTATTTGAAAATGATTTTTAACTTCGGTCTCCCCGTGAGCACGGCTGCTGCAAAGCATCCGAAACATCGGGCCGAAGTTGAAAATAATTTTCAAATAAGTTTAACTAATATATCGCGTTTTCAACCGTTAAAGTGTTTTATTAAATTATTCTTACTAAGTAAAGAAATTCGGGCCTGATTTTTTTAAAGCAGCCATGGTCACAGGAGAGAATGGAAATGGAGGATGTTCCTAAAGTCAAAGTCGGCTACGCTAGCGCCATCTAGTGTCACATATTTGGAATTTGAAGAAATCCGAAACGTCGGGAAGTATTTAAAATATAATGTGAATAAGTAAACTACAATACTAAATATATAACTTAATTTATATTACACACTATTTAAGTTAATGTTAGGATCCACCTGGCGTTTTGTCTGGTTTTAAGCAGCTATGACGAAGTTATGTAAAAAGGCATTAATCAAATACTGTCTATAATTTACGCAAGTAGTACACATAATAATATACAAATAAGTTTAACTAATATATCGCGTTTTAAAGCGTTAAAGTGTTTTATTTAAAATACATTAATCATTTTGGGAATCGAACGGATGACTATATCCGTAGAATATACGATCTATCGACATATGTAACGGCACTAGCTGAATGCAAGTCCGAAGTGATCGATATGGTTTCGTGCAACGGGGTTGACTGCGAGGGACTCACAGAGGGGTGGTTACGACACGAAGGCGCCCGACGCGCGCACACCGCAACAAAATCGAAATTAAACACCTTGCCCTTTTATTGGTTACGATTTTAAATAATTTAAAATAGAACAACTTCAAGAGGTGTCTAATTACAAGTTGGCGTTAACGGAAACGTTGAGACAATGTTTTGAAATTATTATTTAATACAAGATCTTTGACAATCTAAACGTACCGAATTTATTATATTAATGAACAAAATATACAAAGTACAATGTTAACTTAAAATGAATCTGCCAGATATATAGAAAAAATTATATGGAAAGAGAATTTAAAAACTTTAAATATAATAAATAGAATTAGGAATATATTAAGTATACCTTTCTTCAAGAACTAAAAATAGAACCCATTTTTTTTATTGCGTACAAAGTTACGCATTGTCTGCAAAGCATTCGAAACGTCGAAATTAAGTTAATTAATATATTTTGCATTTTAAATTGTCGAATAGTGTTTTATTAAACCCTGTTTCGCTCCACGAACAATTTTTCTATGTCTGTTTCACTGAGCAGTTTTTTTTACAGTCAAAAAGTTCCGACTACTGTTCCCTGCGCAACTGAAACAATCTATTGTTTCACCAGGATTTGAACTCAGTCTCTCGCGCTTAACGCAATGGAATTTTTTTCTACAATATACTTACAAACCTTAACAGCAATGAAAATAGGTATCAAATAACACTTCAATTTTGCACAATAATAAAATGTTGCAGTGTCGAAATGTTTCATAAGCATGCAAATGATAAGATAAACAGGCGTTAAATGAAGCATGCACCATTAACAAGTATGATATGGTAATTCGTCGGCCATCCCTCTTTGTTGCGACGCCAACAACTTAATGGTAGGCACACGACCATAATCATCCGGAGAGGAGTTGTACAATGCGAAGTGTAAGAGCCGGTGACACCAATCAAACGAATAGTTTAGCAACAGCAACAAGATGTTCATTTTGTTATTTTTTTGAAACGTTTGCTTCTTGCGAATGCAATCTTGTCGGCCTCATTGGTCTAATGGTAACACCCTATGACTATAATCTACAGGTCGTGGGTTCCATCCCCAGTGGGCCTATATCTAGATAACAGAAATCTGTATATTAAAAAGGGTAGGAACAAATACTGTCTTTAGTTTACGCGAGTAGTACACATTTAAATATAACACTTTAACGGTTCACAGCGCAATATATTTTAGTTAAACTTGTTTGAAAATTCGGCCCGACGTTTCGGGTGCTTTGCAGGAGCCATGGTCACGGGGAGTTAAAATCATTTTCAAATAAGATTAACTAATATATCGCGTTTAAAACCGTAAAAGTGTTTTATTTAAAAGGATAGGAATATCGAAATTCCTACCCGAAGATGAAAAAGTCGCGAAGTTGAAGTTATTAATCCAAAGTAAAAAATGAGTCGACAGCGCACCTTCTTTAGATTTAATATGGCTGGGATATTTCACCTTCTCACAAATGAACCTCATGTTTGTCTATCCTCCTCTATCATAAAAAAAAAAACAAATATTCTTTTATATAGACATAAGTAATTTAAACAGTGAAATAAGTATTTTAAATCAAAAACAACAGTATAAAACTCTACACAATATTAATGCTGGAATATTAGACCCAACTTATCTGAATGGCATTAGAGGGTTAGTAAATTGTGGTTTGTATTTTATTTTTTTCTTATTATGTTAGTTAGGATTAGTTTTTATTGAAAATCTTAATGTTATTTTTCAAGAAACGTATATTTATTCTATCATATAAATAAAAATAACAAGAATATCAATTGTATGAAGCTTTCGCAGCTATTTCGTGAAGCTACATGGAATGTTTTTTTTTATTTGTATCGGCATAAAAGACATTTTTTTGTATGTACGACATTATATTTACTCAAAGTTACACTGCTCTATATTTTACATTTAAAAATAATGTAATCAAATTTTACTTTTCACAAAATTATCTATATACTAACAATTTCTCGTGAGCGTGTACAAATGTATCACCAGCTCCTAGACTATAACCCTCCCTACAGCAATAAAACGTCTGATTAAACCGCCTCTTGCACAGGGGTTCCCTTTTCAATGCATATCCCTGTTGCTATGTGAGTTTTCTTTATTTTTTGAAAAATGCATGTAATCAAATGATCATTAGAATTAACCCAACATGAATTTTTATGCAGGAGACCTTTTTTATTATAGAGAAGTACAAACAAGCGCGTCCACTTGTTGGTAGGTGTAATGACTCTCAACAAGATGCGCTATTGACCTGTTTTTTATATACATATAAATTGTATTCCTGAAGTTTGAGGAAGTTATTTCAAACGCCATCACGCCATATAGGCGATTATATCAACTAAGTACAACTCATATTAAATTAAAATATTTTAAATGGCGCTGATTAGAAAAGAAGCAACCCTCTAAAAAGCTTGACGGCTTTTGCGCATTGAGATAGAGTTTTTCGAGTCAGTTTAGGAGTGATATCTTTCTTATGATAGAGGAGTGCAGACAAGCATAGGGCTCACTTAATGGAAGGTCCACCTACTCTGACTTCGGATATTCGGAAATCCTCAGGCCCAAACCGAAACACCATTAAACTCGGACTTTTCCATCAGTGGATGGAATTTCAATATTCCTACCACCCGTTTAATATCCAGATTTTCAACCGAAGTGCAAATATGTTTCAAATAAATTATAAACTGTTTTAAAAAATATTGGTGGCGATCGTTCGTTGATTATTAGATTGCTACCAAAACACCAACCTTCGATCTTATGTCATTTGCGTGGCAATCTTTCGGGTATATTGATCTTTCGTTCGTTTGACTTGTGAATCATTCGAGGTCCAAAACTATTCAAGCAGGTATAAAGCAGATATCGAGAACTTACCGATAGCCCGGGACACAGCAAGCTGACCGTTAACACGCCACGTACCCCAGTATGTCACTATGCCACCCAAAGCCTCTATTCGTTCTCGTTCGTCCTGTAACATTAATCATTAATATTTCAAATTTACTATCGATTAAAAAAAATACAGCAGGAGCAGGACTTGAACCGGCATCGTCAGCGTTCCGTGCTGTTGCTCTAACCAATTGAGCTACCGTTTCCTACACCTCATAGTCGAATTTTGTTAACTTATTGATACATGCACCTCTCGCACAACGCAATTTCAACCGTAGCACATGCGTATTAAAGTTCAATGTCTTATGTCTTTGAAAACTTTAATATTTAAAAATTTGAATGCACATAAATTAAAAATCTATTTTAGTTTGAAAAAAAAATAACGACCTGGGCTGGACTTGAACCGACATCTACAGCGTTTCGTGTAAATTTTTTTTTTCGCGGCATGAAATTAATTACTAAGGTATCCAGAAATAAGGACAGCTGTATAAAATTATTTTACTATAGATAAAGATTGAAAACTTTATTATTTCTAGACATGTTATTGAATGTAAAAAAATAATAAATGTATATAAATGCACTTAAGTTGAACAAAAATTGACGACATAGGCGGGACTTGAGCTATAGCGATCAGTGATGTTGCTCTAACCAATGAACTACCGTGTCAATTGGTTTTAGCAAAAGTAAGTCAAAAGAAGACATCAAAAATTCATTATTTTTCCCTATTTCAGTATAAAATATGCATCCATACTAATATTATGTCAGTTATCCGTCGCCATATCTAAGGAAATTTTTACCTCTCTGCTTGGATTGTGCGGATGCACCAGTTGCATGACGCGCATGCGCTGTGCTACCAGCGCGAGGGAATCCCCGGCCCAGGCGACCATCAACCGCTTTCCTCGAACACAGACCACGACCGCAGTGCTGCCACCGACAACTCGATGCTATAACAAAAATAAATCTAAATATCACCAGTCCGAAAACAGTTTCCACATCTGGGAATGTATCTCAGAGATGTAGTAAATGTGTACAAACCTTATCTGTAGTTAACACGAGTGGTACACATTTAAATAAAACGCTTTTAATAGTTATAATTGCGACATATTTTCGTTAAAATAACTAGCATATGTATGTATATCGTGATTTAAACCGTCAAAAGTGTGTTATTTAAGTTTACAAGCCTCCAAAAGGTGGCCAAATGACCAAATTTAGACCAACACGGCTCTACACAATAATTAACTAAACGATAAATATATTCCCAGGTAGTTACGTGATTAGTACAGTGTGTAATGTATATAGAGACTAGATCTTTCAAATAGGATTTTCAAAAACTATCCCCACAATCTATACAGTGAAATAAACACTTCACGGTTACTGCAAAGCTTCCGAAATATCGGGTCATAGTTAACTAGTTTACTTCACATTAAAACGTTAAGAATAAAACTTGCAAAGTAAATCAATGTTTTTTTATAACAAATAGTTCCTTAACAGTTGAAATGAAATATATTTATTTATTAACTTATTATTAGTTATATACCACCTATTTTAATTATGGTCCTAGTAGATTTCGGGGTTTTTAGTTTTTAGATAGGGGTGTTAGATTTCGTTATTAGACAATACTCAATATTATAAAAGTGGAAGTCATAGATAAACACACGTATATCTTTATTCAGGATTCGTTAGAGCTTCATATTATGTCATGAATCACAAGGGTACAATACAGCAATTTGTATTCCAAACCTATGTTTAAAAGTAAATAAGACATAAGTGAATAACGTATAGCTTTTGATTACACAATTTTAACAGATTAATACATGATTTATGATAAAGTAATTGATATTTATTGTCCGACCTAATAAAATATTTAATGTGATATATACATTTAGAGATAGAGGTTTTAAATCACCTGTGTCAAAACAGACGGCTTTTAGATTTTATCCTTACACAATCTTGTTTGGTTGTTGAAAACCTCAAATAGCCGCTTACATTTCTTTTGATTTTAGTTCTCACCGTGCATACTAGATGGCGCTATTTTAAATTTTATTGTTATGAATATTTTGTCTGTATTTAATATAAGAATGAAGTAACTTTACTTTCAAATGAGTCACGTATACCTACTTCGTTTTTACTTTTCCTAATAAATTCCGCGTCCGTTTTCAAAAAGGCGTCTTGCAGTGCATTTCGTATGTTTGTCTTGAAGTTCGGGCTCTCCACTAGATACTGATGCAAGTGGGCAGCGCAGTACTGCGCAGCGGACGAGCCAGCGTGTCCATCGTATACTGCGTAGAAGCTTGTGTGCTCCGTTGTCTAGAAGATGACAATATTATTATAAGAGGAGATTGCAGATTAAAACGCGGAATATATTAGTTAAACATATTTATACATTGTTTTAACTAGCAGCCGAAACGTCGGGCCGTACTCCGCGTTTTAAACGCGGAGTACGGCTCGGTAAAGTGCTTTATTAAAATTAGCTGTTTCCAATAAAAAAAATATAAGAAATGAAAAGTTAACGCCCAATTTCTCTTTTTCAGATTTCAATTTTTCTATTGTCCAAAATTATGACGCAGTGCGTAGAATATCAACATTTTGATAATACGTCATATATTGTCATTTTGATAGAAAGATCTGCATATTTATTATCAAAAAAATATGCATATCCAAATTTTATTAACAAATTTACTGACTTTCTATGTAAACATGATTAATTAAAGATACGTACGTCAATATCAAACAACGCTTCCAAGTTCCCGATTTCGACGTGTCGGTCTTCCATGGCGCGTCTCGAGTTCCGTAGCGCTGCGGAGACCGTCCGGAACTCCTTCTGTTCGAGGGGTGGTGGGGGAGGCAGGGTGTCCAATTTGGAGTTGTCCAGATATCGGAGGCAAACATCGTTCACCCGCGCTATCACAGCTTGCATTAGCCATATCCCTCTGTACGCTGAAAAGAGAGGCATCGGCACGTTACCAAAAAGTAAGATCTTGTAGCAATGGCAGCTAATAGTCAACGGGTCATGATCCGTGGGTTTCAGTCTATGGATTTCCGATTATCCAAAATCAAAATGGGTCAACAGCGCATCTTGGGTAGATGTTATATGGCTGGGGTATTTGACCTCCCATCAAGTCCTACCCCCTACCGTCTGTCTACCTCAATTATTTAAAAAAAGTCTTGTATATTCTGTAACAATCCTGTGTTTCCTCGTGGGGCAAGAGGCACACACATTTCAAATTTCTGACCCGTTTTACTGACAGGTTTCCTTTATAAAAGTAGTTTACCAGAATTCTGTACCCTGCCCGACCGAAACCATTTATTGTTTCCTCAGGATTCAAACCTAAGACCTAGCGTTTACCGCTTTCCTAGGCAACACGTTTAACCACTTGAATACACAGGTGTTCGAAATGCTAATAGTTAATAAATAGTCATATAATATACACATTACACCTAAACTTTGCTGTATTTCTTTGTAGTGTAATGTTGTTTTCTGTACTATATCTGGCAAATTTTTAATATATTTGTACTTATATATAAAGCTGGAGAGTTTGTTTGTTGGTTTGAACGCGCTCATCTCAGAAACTACGGGTTTGATTTGAAAAATTCTGTGACTAATAAAAGCTGTTCCCGCTGTATCTTCAGCGGGATATATGAAAAAATATTGAAAAATTATTCATCATTATGGGTTTCCGAGGCTAAATAGTACGCTGCACAAATTCTGAACAGTTTAGATACCCAAAAAATATTTTAAGAAGATTCCCCTAATATCCTAAATATTCAAAAAAGTCCCACGCTATATGTCTATTTTTAAGATTAACTGGTTATAACGGGAAGGTACGTGACCATGTTGGGTTACAGCTTAAGTTTATAGAGGTGTTTGCAAGCACAATTTGGATGGCCAAAATAAATATTCTTAGGACGAAGTCGCTGAACTAGTGACTATAGAGTAATTTATCTAACAATAAAATGGAAAAAAATGTATTTTTTTTGTTAGTTAGTTATTATCAAGTTTCAGTCAGTCAGTTTCAGTTTCATTATTAAAAACATCCTTTTTATTCCGTTAATTTATTTTTAAGTAACAACACATTTATTCTCAAAGATAAATCTTTGAGAATATTATTAATATATTTATCTGCACATATATATATGTGTGTGCAGATAACTACAATAACAGAGAAATTAAAACAAGAAAGGGCAGTAATAACGTGTAACAACTTTCTTTCTATAAAAGTACAGTTTTAGACCTAACGTGCAGAAGTTTCTCATGCGTAAAATCGAGGCAGATCTATAAGGCTTCCTTCCTGGCAAAACAACTGTCGATACGTCACGACTGAATTGGTTTCTCAGTCGGGAATACGAATATAAATGGAGATAAAATATTTATTCTTATAAATTAAAAAACGATTATACATTGAAGAAAAAGAAATAGACGTACAGGACTTGAACCGGCATCCACAGCGCGCTGTTGCGCTATTGAGCTACCGAGTCAATTTACAATCGATTTTTAATTCATATAATGTCATCATGTACAATAACTTGTGAAAAATTTTAAAGTTTTTAAGTATGTTACATCTATTTTTGTGAAAACCTCAAATCATTTTTTAAACAATATTAAAGATCTGGACTAATGACATCAAGCCATTAAACTAAGTTACTTTTCTTTCTCAAATTCAATATAATTAGTGAAGTTATTCGAAGGAATATTTCTCCTACAATTTTTTTTTTGATTAAAGACTTCATGCCTCAATAGCCAGTTCATCATATATGATTGAATGATTCACGGAAAGTTCAGGTACTAATCAACATTTGGGAACCATTATATATAAAAATTGAGAAGAAATACCACTTCTGTTAGCTGCCACTTTTGTGTATATTCGCAGTGTCACTGGGCGTCACTCAAATATTAAAATATGTTGGAATCCCGACTAGGAACAGGGAACGGCAATTTTTTAATTCGAACCGGTAATTTTTGAAATTAGTGCGTTCAAACAAACAAACTCTTCAGCTTTATATATATTAGTAAGTATATACATTACCGTTTAACTGTTAAGACTATTCAATCAGAATATATGTGAACCATCGTGCTGTAGTCTTCAAATATTTTTTATTATTAATAAATTTTGAATGTGAAATCGTTAAGTCTCTTATTAAATCCGTACTCTGTATAATCCGTACTACTGTATGTGTAATCTGTACTACTCGCGTACGTCACAGAATATACATCTTGCGTAAACCACAGACTATATAGTGCAGGATACGCCCTAATTACAGGAAAATCTGCAACAAAGGGCCCTTGCTGTGCCTGGGCGTGATGTAACAATGCAAACCGACGCCCGATAAGAGCCCAGATAGAGCGATAAGACCATGATATCATAGCTGCAAACACAATCATCATTGTTTCGCGGTTCTGACATTCCGCGCCTAATCTTGCACGCTTCTAACATTACGCGCGTAAAATACTTTTAATCGGACTTAAGTAGAGAGTTCGTCTACCTTTTTTGTTACTTTGTCATTTGTAGGGACTTATTGAGGAATTGAACTGACGGATAACAAATAAATTAAAGGTTTTCACACAAAAACACATGTCACACTTATTACTAAAACATAAAAAAAACGAAACATAATTTTATCTTAACAGTATAACTCAATATAACACGATAGGATAATGTTGTGTACTGCTAGTAGAATAGGATCTTACTCAGTTTATATCAGGCCCTTTGTTGACCTGAAACTGATTTTCAGTAAGTCCTTAGAGTGTGGACATCGGTTAGCTATACATTGCTATCGTAAGGTCCAAGATTCGACATAAAAAAACAGAAACCACTACAGACTTTACATATAAACTGTAACAATAACACTATATAATGTATTACGGTAAGATAAATTTCGAATGAAAGCTACTATATAAAAATTGATGATGGCAAATTTGCCCTATTTTTTTCTTATTATTCGTAAAAACTATGTATAGGAGAGCGGCGGGAGTTTAAAAAACAGTACACAATAGCATTCGAACATTGTCCAGGACGAAATGTACTATTTAAATATTGCAAAAATACAGTCCAGTAAGCCACAGAATACTGAATACTAGAAACCGTCAAACGCGGAGGTAATTGTGACCGTTACGACTTATCCAAAGTGGAGGGGTTCGATATCGACTGAGAATCGACAATCTAGATTTATTATTTTAATTAAAGTCGGAGCTTTCCTTTAATTTTTAACTATTTCGTCAGTAGGTTTTAAACGACTAAAGAATTTAAATATCGTGGTAGCTAAACACTACAAGGGTAGTTGCAAATCCAGCTGGTAAGAGTTTTGGGCAGATCACGTCGCGTAGTTTGTTTTTTTTTTTGTAATAATTCCTAGGAAAACAAACAAGCATGGTCACTTGATGGTAGGTGATATAACCCAGCCTATCATCTAAACAAGATGTGGGTCGACCTATTTAGGCTTTGGATATTCGGAAATCGACAGGCTGAAAGCGAAACGCGATTTCATCTGTGGACTGGGATTCGTGACCCGGAACGGAATTTCTATATTCCTAACACCCATTCTATCCAGATTTCTAGCCGAAGTTTTCAACATGTTTCGGAACAATTATCACTTGAAAACACTCATTGACAGCTGTGGTAGACTCCTTCTGGTCTATATTCTGTGGATCTTTATTCATCGACCCGTCTCCGCTTTACGCCGATACAACAGAGTTACTGCCCTCGTAAAACAGCTAAGAACACATTTACATCGTCTATCCAATATTCCTTAAAGCATTTCGTGTTTCGTTACTTTCATAAACGGCGATATCATTTTTTATTTAGATTAACCTTTGCTTACTGAATGTGCACCCACATTAACTTTTAGTATGCTAGGAATACACGTCGAAATATTGAAGGCGTGAATTTTTAATACTATCGAACCTTAATATGGCTTATGTGAAAAAAATGTACTGTGTTAGTTAGCTGCAAGTAATTTTACCTTACGATTAGGCAAGATAATTAGATCGAGTATTTAAACAGATTGTTACCTAGAAAATTTACAATTGTTTTTAATCATAAGAAAAATTTAAACAAGTTAAATTTATATCTTCTCAAGGCATCTAAGTTCATTAACTTAAAAAAATCCATGGCAAATTATATGTCCAATCTATTGTTATATGACTACGCGTTTCTCGTTGTAATTTGTTTTTACAAAAACTAAATAATAATATTACTTAACGGAATTTAACTTGTAAGATACGACTTGTTACATAAGAAATTTAGGTCACACGATGCCTTGATTGGAAAGTAATAGTGATTCAACCTTACCAGGAATATTTACTACGAAAACCTATGAATATTTACCTGAACTGTCCGAGTCAAAGCCAAACTCGTTTGGATGTTTCTTCGCTGCGACGCGAACCTCGTCAAGTATTATCCGCAAAAGCGGTGTCATTAGCGTACCCGGACACGATCTGAAAGAAAGACACGATAAGCATGACAATGGTAAAAAATAAATAGGGGGTTGGGGGGTAATTTATAGAGGAAAGATACAATGACGTCATAGGACGTGACGTGACGAAGTAAGTAAAAGCAGTGGCATCCTGCTTTTTGGATTATGTTGGAAATTTTGTTTCTTTCTCTTACCTAAACCAAGTTCAAATTTATTTAAAAGATTGAGGTTTAAACGTAAAGAATATGAAATAAATTATAAATGAGTTATGACCGCCTCTGTAGCCAAATGGTTAAACGTATTGCCTAGCATTGCATTACGCGCGAGGGGTTCTAGAGATCCCCAGAGGAACAAACAATGTTTCGGTCGGACAGGGCACAGAAGTCTGATCAACTACTTGCCTGTTAAAGAACGGATCAGTGAATCGAATAAAAAATGTGTTCACCCCATACCCAATGAGGGGGTAACGGGATTTCACACACATAAATAAGTTAACAATAAATAAACATTTCGTGTTTTACATATATTAAGAAAAGCGTAGAATAGTTATTTCTGGCATCAATATTTGGTTTTGCAAACCTCCAAAGCTAAAAATCTAAAATGTATAAAACTCCAGCAAAGCTATTACGTACGTTGTTCTTGCAAGTTAATGATAAAAAATAGATATAATATACTGTCGCGAACAATTTGTTAGATTGTTCAAAGAGGAACCATTCTTTGGACATATTTTTTTAATAACACACACAGAGAGAATAAATTCTACCACATATCCCTTTGTTTCTTTGCTCCTATTAGTCGCAGCGTGATGTTTATAAAAGTTCTAAGCAACACGAAAGTAATTTTTCAATTCGAACCAGTAGTTACTGAGATTAGCGCGTTCAAACAAAGTCCCAAAAAAAAAAAAAAACCCCCCCCCCCCCCCCCCCCCCCCCCCCCCCCCCCCCAAAAAAAAAAAAAAAACCCCCCCAAAAAAAAAAAAAAAAAAAAAAAAAAAAAAAAACCCCCCCCCCCCCCCTTTAGCTTAATAATATTAGTATCTATTAACCAAGGGAACTACGATTCTATTAGGAGGTACATTATAGCCACCTTGAAAATATTGCTTTGTTATAAAGGCTTATAGTCATCACAATACCATACATAAAGTACTATAATATACTTTCGTCTGCTTCTGCGATCCCGAGAGACTTAATGGCCGTCACAATAGAATGGAATATTTCGATCGCTATGGCGTCGGTGGGTACCTTTATTGTTTTAAATAAGGGTTTTGAAAAGTGCTTATATATATACGAATCGACAATTTTCTTAAGTTTCATTAAACAGAGCTTTTCTTATTACTAGTATAAAATCTTATGATAGAGGACGACAAACATGGAGTTCTATTGATGGTTCTATCGAGAATCTTCACGAAACGTCGGGCCGAAGTTAAAAATAATTTCCAAATAAGTTTAACTAATATATCGCGTTTTAAACCGTTAAAGTGTCTTATTTAAATGAAGGTAATTCTCAAGCCACATAACATCTAAACATGATGCGCTGTCGACCCATTTCGGCTTTGTAAATTCGTGCCTTTTCATCTGATGATCCGTGGCCCGAACGAAATTTCGTCAATCGTAACACCGATTCCATATCTTCTACATTCAGAAAATTCATAAATCGATTAGAAAACATCTTGGACCAAGTAGGGATCCCGACCCGTTGGTTATAGGCATTGCAATTGCCAGTAGACCAGCTCGTCGACAAGTTTCACGTCAAAATAATGACAATTCGATCGATTGGGGTTTACCCAGAGTGCGGGTGAAAAACCTGAAACCAACGAAACGGGTAACCTGGCAATTACTGAAACGTGGACAGCTCAATTGAACAGCATTAACCGGAGTAGTTCCACCGCGCTAATAGAGCTATTTGCAGGCTATTAGCTGTACTATTCGTATCTGGAAACATTTATCGTATGCCCACTTTCATAGTATCTAGAGCCAAGATTTAATATGCAGATACAGTGGCGCATAGTTGAAGGATAGTGTAAAACATAATAAACTAACCTTAATTGTTGAAATACATAAAGTCTATGTTCTTAAGCTAGTCTTCAGTCTAAAAAAAACTACGCGATTCTACCTTGAGTCACTTCTGTTAGAACCCAGCAAGTTTCTCGAAAAACCAACTATCTATATAGACAGTAAGTAATCGATATTACTTAGATGGATGTTTTTGCGACAAGTCCACGTTTAAATTAAAAAAAAATTGAACAGTTTATACCGCGAAATGTATAGTTAGCTGGTTACTCTAAATACCAACTACGAAAAAACAGACGGCGCCAGCAGTTTTCAATTTGACATTTGGGACACCCTCCATCTTCAGTCCACCCGTGACCACAGCTGCTGTGATACATTCGACACGCCGAGGCGTAGTTAAAATACATTGTAAATTAGTTCGCATATATTTCGTGTTTCAAACCGTTCAATTTAAAACGAGTAGTCAGGGGTTCCTAGAACATGTATAATGGTCTCATGACTCTCAAGTTGAATAGTCGTGAATATCTTATTTTCGATGAAATGCCCAATAACGTCTTACGGGAAAGTAATACATAATTTTGTCTACTTAACACAGTCCACCCCCGCTCCGCCTTCGCGATCTCTCATTTAAATTATTAACGCAAAACCCGTCCATTTGATAAGAAAAAGGTTTATAAGGCATATTGGCTTAAGGAAAATCAGACCTCCGATTTCGTACACTGTCACTTTCTACGATAAGAACGTTTGATAAGGCGTTCTCTACAAGTGTCCCTATCGCAAATAAAACAATAACAAACATGAGTCTATTGATAGTGTTATCACACAAGACGGTTACACCTAAAGATTGGGCTGTTTACGTGGTAGCGTCTGTTTGTTTAAAAAATGGCTTTCGCGAACCAAACTGTATCTTCGCCTGGCGGGATCTATTGTAGCTCTAGCAGATATAAATAGCTGCTAGGGCTACAATGGTCCTTTCGATAAAACCATAACTCAAATAAAAACTTTTTCATTTTAGATGAGTGGGATTTGCGGTCGCGGTAATACCGAACAGTCTCTACAATATGTGCCAGTATAATATAAAAAAAAAACATTTACATAAAACTTAACAGTTTAAAACGCAAAATAGACACTCTCCACCTTTAATCCCCCGGTGAGCACGACAGCAAAGCATCCGAAACGTCAAATTCTAAATAAAATGAATTACCAAATATAGTTGCAATATGTACTACTCCCGTAAACTACATACAATACTTAAAAAAAAACCTTATATTGAACGAACAGAAAAACATAACCAGAATACTCTCCAACGTGCGTACATTCCACGTATCTGCTACGAGAGAGACCAAAAAAACCCAACTTCCGCTTTCCCCATTCATTCACACGGCGCGCATGTGTTCCCCCGGATTTAAACTCTGGACATTTACAAAATAAAACGCGGACGTCTGTCTGTACCGCAGTTACATAAAGAGGTCAGTGATCCTGGCCTGTTCTATCGGGCCAGTCAACACTCCAATGTTCTATATAATTGTGCTCTCGTTTAACGCAGTTTTATTGTTTATTTCGCTGCAACGGAAAGGTAATTTAATGCTCTCTGCGTTCGTGTAACGCGCGTTACGTTGCGCATACCTGTTTAATATGTCATTGTTTTGCTACATGTTAAACTTCTCAATATTAAACCGACATTTTTCATTCCACATTTTTCTCTCATCTGCATAGTATGTAGGACGATAATCTATACTACTTATACATATTACAAAGCTGGAGGTTTTTGTTTTTGGTCGTTCGAACGAGCTAATTTCAAGAACTGTGTCCAATTATAATTTATATTATAATGATAACATCACGCGATCAATAAGAACGAAGTAAGTGTAAAAAAACGGAAAAATAATTTTGAGGGCGATTTGATTATTTATATGCGAAGACAGTTTAAGAAACCACAAAATATGTATCAGGAATCACTTCCTTAATTTTTAAACTAAATGACCAAAAAAAATGTCAATATGTTTATTGTATTTCTTTTTGCACTAGCTTTTATTTTAGGTGTCAAATGTTACCGCATACATAAATACAGAAATTGAATATAACACATTAAAAATACACATGAACAGTATTCGAACCCACGACCACAAGTACTTAGGGAAAGGTAATTAAACCACCCAAGTAAAGCGTTTTTTTTATATTTACGTATTCAATCTTTTTTTCATGTCTCATGCTCACTCTGTTAGTGACTAAGACATTTATTCCAAGAGCCGACAGCATCAGTGTCAACGCTATCATTACATCCGCTTACCTCCCACACCGCTTTCATACCAATTTATTCATGAACTAGTCTTGTGACTTCTCTAACAATTCAAACCACCCACAAATCCCTACTCTAGCGTTCATATCAAATGAATTAAACTTCTTAACACTTATAATATTGACAAAAAATTTTCGACCTTAAACGGTATTTTGTCCCTGATCCTATGCACCGCAATTTTCCAAACCTTGTATGGAAAACTACAGTACAAATTAAAGTAAAAGAACTAAGGCGAAGTAAGTAATCGTTTTAATTTTTCAATGAAGCAGTACTGGTGTGCGAAAACAATCCGATATAGCGTAAAATAATCGTGGGAAGAACACTTTCTGTGGAGAGGAGTGCGGAAACCAATATTCGTTCTAGGCGTAGGTAGGTTGAATGTTCTATAACGTATAAGTAAGTAAGTACTAAGTATAGTCATATTGTCAACTCCTTATTATCGACCTAAGTTCCCTTAATGCTAGATAAGAACCAAATTAAAAATCGATAAAAAAAATTGAAACAATTTACGACTCCTCCAGGACGCAAAACGCAAGTGGTTAAGGTTTACGTTGAAATTACATTGCGCGAGAGGTGCATGTATCAATCGGTTGAAAAAATTCGATTCCGGTTTAAGTCCTTGAAGCCCGAGTAGTGCTATTTTTTGAAATTTTTGATCGATCTTTAATTTATATAGTGCCATCATGCGCAAAAACGTGTGCAAATATTAACGTT